CTCCCTCGACCTGCTGGCCACACTCCTCCTAATGCACCCCAGGATCCCATTGGCCTTCTTGGCAGCCAGGGCACACTGCTGGCTCATGGCCAACCTGTCGTCCACCAGGACACCCAGGTCCCTCTCCACAGAGCTGCTCTCCAGCAGGTCAGCCCTGAGCCTGTACTGGTGCCTGGGGTTGTTCCTCCCCAGGTGCAGGACCCTGCACTTGCCCTTGTTGAACTTCATCAGGTTCCTCTCTGCCCAACTCTCCAGCCTGTCCAGATCTCGCTGAATGGCAGCACAGCCTGCTAGTGTATCCACCACTCCTCCCAGCTTTGGATCATCAGCAAACTTGCTGAGGGTACACTCTGTCTCTTCACCCAGGTCATTGTTGAATTTTCTCTGTACCCAGACTAGTTGCACAACTTCTGCAGGAGATAGCTGTCTTGTGTCTCCGAGAGAGCACATGTTCATAGCAGAAAGAAATGTTCAGTGAGATGAGAGTTCATTCATCTCTCCGGAGCCAACCTGCAATTTATTGGTGTGTTTTTGTTGTAGCTGTGCTTTTTTGTTGTTGTTATTGCGATAATATCTCATGTGCTCATCAGACCAAGCGGTTTTGTCTGTATTTTGAAACAACCAACATCATATGCTCCCGAGCGTTGCATATGTATTAAGTAATTGCTTATCACTGTAGGATCTGAACTCCTTGCAGTCTTTAATGAGTTTATGCTCTCAGCTTCCCTGCCAGGTAAAGAAATAGTCGTTTCTGTTTTGGAGACGGAATTAAGGGCAGATCAAGTGACTTGCCCAAGGCAGGTGGAAAACAGTGGTTTATTTGGGACTTGAACTGATGGTTTCCAGCATCCTTCTTTCCTTCCAAATTATCACAATCCAGCAAATGGTCATTTGCATAGTGCTTACTACTCTGGAGCCCAAGACGGCTGCAGTATAGACAATATATATAAAAGAAAAAAGCAAGGTAACAGCATTATTGCTAATGAACCCCGTGTAAACTGGCACATACAACGTGAAGTGGCTGCAGAACAGCCCTGAAAGCTTCTTTTCCGAGTAGATGAAAGAGATTAAAAAATAGTAATCAACTAGCATTGCGCTGGTGGTGTTGCAGTCACAGTTCTCTCCGGTAGGGCTGTATAATACTGCACCTGCAGTAGCTAAAAATACATATTTATGTCATGTGGCACCTGCCATGTTTCAGCGTGGTCCACGGCTGGGGCTGTTATGTGTTACGATCGTGCAAACAACGTCACCACAAGGTCAATGTTTTGGGGTGTTTGCTGCATGCGCTGAGACATCCCCTGCGTATCAAGATTTTTTTTTTTTTTTTCACACACCTCCCTGCTCCGCTCGTTTGGGCAGGTGTTAACTGTGCGTTGGCTGGTTTGCATTTCCCAGTACAGCCCGAGTTGGTGAGTCTGGTTCCACGAAACGGTTCAAGCACCTGCCTTCCCTTCGAAACCACTGAGAAGTTCCTACATCAGACAGCCGAGTAGCTTCCTGCACTTGGACCAGCTCTGCTTTTAATGCTTCGTCTTAAATGTTACTGCTGGCCTTTATGTTTTGGAATTACTTCTCTCAGCAGAAAGATGTGGAAAGAGTACAGCTGCCAAACAGCCCCATCCATACCGTGTTCCTAAATAACTTGCGATGAGCAGGCGTCCTTATTGAGCTCCTTAGTCACCGGTTCTGTCACCGTTGCTGTAAATGAGAGCCCTTGAACTGGAAGCCCATCTGCTGAAAACGGAGTGGGCGGGTGGCAGCGCCGTCTCCTGTCCACTCTGCTCCCATCGCGGCAGCGGCTCTGCGCTGGCTGTGTTGGTTTTGGCATCAGCTGGCTGTTGTCACTGGCAGGTTGTTGATCACCTGGTGAGATGCCAGATCTGATGGGCAGGGTGGGGCTGAGCAGGGCCAGGTGAAAAACGAGGCGTAGAGAAGAAGACAATGGAAGGTGCCAAAAAGTCATAGGATGATGTGGCGTGAGTCACAGGTGGTGGCAGGACTGTTTCAAACAGGCTCGCAGGGCGCCTGTCAGGGCCTTGTATGAGGTGACAGCTTGCAAGAACCAAGGACTGGTCTGATCCACCCGTCATTCTTTGCCTTGCGAAGAGGTTGTTGCTGGGCAGAAGGAAAAGCTTGAACTTTTGATTTAGAGATCGGTAGGTATATGAAGGAATGTCAAAGGTTTGAGGTTTTAGTTTTGGTTCGGGGTTAGGGGTGGTTTTGCTGTTTTTCTGGTTGCAGCCATTGTAGAAAGGCAGATTTTTAAGGAAGGTGTAGCAAGGATGCACCATGAGGGGATCTTATAATGTCTTAAGGGTGGGTGTCGACCAGGCTCTTTTCAGTGGTGCCCAGCGACAGGACAAGGGGCAACGAGCACAAACTGAAGCACAGGAAGTTCCAGTTGAACATGAGGAAGAACTTCTTCCCTCTGAGGGTGACGGAGCCCTGGCCCAGGCTGCCCAGGAAGGTTGTGGAGTCTCCTTCTCTGAAGATATTCAAACCCTGCCTGGACGCGGCCCTGTGCTGCCTGCTCTAGTGACCCTCCTTCAGCAGGGGGATTGGACTAGGTGATCCACAGAGGTCCCTTCCAACCACTGCCATTCTGTGATTCTGTGAGTGATGCTTGGTGAGTTTCCAACTATGCATCCAAGAGGAGCGGTCTCCCCAGCCTTCTTCAGGTATTTCTATATTTCATTCAAAGGTACTCAGCAAGTTGGAGGTCCCATGGGCAGGGTTGAGCTAAGGGGGCATTGCTCTTGGACCTAAAAGCTCATCCAGCAGACTACCCCGGATAATCTGGAAGAATAAGCAGGAGGACAGCAGGGTTGTTCCCAACAGAACCTAACCAGATGAACGTTCAGCCTCAGAAGGGAGAAGAAAGGCTTGTCCGTTCCTGGAAACAGCCTTCCACACACCTTGTTTTTCCTAGCAGTGGGAGAGAGGAGAAGGCAGAGGCTGAGGTCCATGTGCGTGATGATCCTGCTTAGGGTTAATACCGAGATCGATGTTCTTGGGAGACGCTTGATGTATGGG